ATGAAGGCCGTGGTCACTCTTCAGAACCTTCATCGCCAGATCCATCGGAAGCCTCTTCGGGTTTGTCAGTTGTTCGAGAAGGAGGTCGTGGAGGAGCTGGGCATCGTGGCCGGCCAGGCCTGGACCTTGAAGGATTTTGTCCGCAAGCAGAATTGGGGCCGCTACAAGGGATTGCAAAGGTGCGCTGTCATGGACGTGGCGGCTTACGAGCTGATCCGAGCGGGAAAGCACGACATCGCGGCGGCGCAACTTGTGCAGAACCTCAAGGCCAAGATCCAGGCGGTGCTCCAGAACGGCGACTGGGGCACTGCTTGGTTGCTAACGGGTCTCCCAGACCCCTTGACCCGGAAAGAATGGGCCGGCTCGAAGCAGGAGATGGCGGTCGTGACGGGTTACATCGAGGCCTTGGCAAAGCTAAAGAAAAAGGTTTCCCAGAGTGGTGCGGCGGCCGACGGCGAGGACGAGGACACGTCGGGGCCGAGCCACAAGAAGTAATCCCACAGCAGCGTGTGCATGTTCGAGGGCAACCCTGCCTTAGGCATCCTGCTCTTTTCAGTGATGATGGTAATTCACGTTTTCTTCAGTATGTGCAGTGGTTCGAAGGCGTCCAAGGTACTTTGCTGGAACGGTCCGGCAGTGAAATTCCTTTATTTCCGTGTGCCCTTCCTTATCCAGAGATCCTTGATTGGGAGATTTTGACGGGGGAGGCCGAGGCGCAACTTTGGTGGGCTAAGTCATTCGTGAACACGTTCGTGGCTTGGTCAAACTTCGTGGTGCTCGGCAACCCGCGGCTGGAGGGAGGTGCATGCGAGCCGCGAGTAGGCTATCGCAGCATGCAAGATGCTCGGCTCTTTTGTGATAGGCTGCTTGGCGAGGTGCAAGAATTTGCTTGTCATGAAGTCGTTTTGGGGAGTTTAGAGTGTGGTGGCAAAAGGGCCATCATTGAAGACCTTCTCCAGAATGTCGTGACGGCAGCTGGTGCATGCTACGGTGCTCCAGCCCAGGCTGGAACTTCGGCTACCACGGCGTTGCCTGTTGTGGCGGCTCGCGTGGCCGTGCCAGAGGAGGCGGGAACTGTGAACCCTTTGGATTGGCTTCCCGAGGGTCAGGCGGCTGTGCTGGCCAATTTGCCGGAGCTTAGGCTCCCAGAGGACCAGTGGGATGAGATAGCCGTCGCTTGCCACCAGGTGGCAGAGAGCGAGGAGAAGAACGTGGCGGCAAAGCTTTTGGCGACCGGCATGGCGGTGCTTGTCCCAGAGAGTGAGCTGCCGCGCCGAGAAGATGGTAGATTGCTGACGGGCGGTTTGTTCGGGGTCTCTAAGAACTCCTCCGAGGACCGGCTCATTTATGATCGTCGACCTGAGAACTCCACGATGCCTAGGCTGGACTGGGCGGCATTGCCGAGTGGGGCTTGCTACACACGGATGCTGCTGCAGCCGGACGAGTACTTGAGAGGGTCGGGGGATGATCTTCGGAATTATTACTATGCCTTAAAGCTCCCCGAGAATTGGGTCAAGTTCAACTCCGTCGGCAGGCGTGTGGATAGGGCTTTGGTCGCAGCTCACGGCGGCGATCCCAGCAAACCTTATCGACTCTGTTTCAGGGTGTTGGGCATGGGTGACACCAATGGTTGCGCAATCGCCCAGGCTACGCACGAATCGGTGCTGAAGTCCGAGGGCCTGCTTGCTCCCGAGGTGACGCTTAAGTATGGGGATCCGGTTCCTAAGAGTGATTTGTGGGAGGGCGTGTACTTAGATGACTTGCTGATCACCCTCCGCAAGAAGATTGAGGGGGCAGTGCCTTTGGACGGGACGTTCGTGCCACCTGCTCCTCAGGAGGACGACCCAGATGTTCGGCAAGTCCGCGGCGCAGAGGCTGCTTACGACAAGGCGGGGCTTCAGCGCGCGATCCACAAGTCCTTTCGCATGCTGTGCCAATTCCGGGCCTGGGGCGCGGAGGTTGACGGCGTGGCGGGCAAGGTCGGGGCCCCATTGCAAGTGCGTCGTGAAGTGTGGAAACTGATCGCCATCGTCGTTCGGCTAGGTTGGGCTACCAAGAACGTGCTGGAGAAGATCAATGGGTTCATCTGCTTCATTTTCCAGTATAGGAGGGAGATGTTCAGCTTGCAGCACCACATCTATAAGTATGTAGCCGGTTTGCCGCAGGACCGATGGTGTCGACTACCAGACCATATCCGCGACGAGCTCAGGAGTGTGGCTTTGCATCTTCCGTGGGCTACCTGGAACATGCGGCGGCAGCTTAGCTGCTCACTCTTAGCCACTGATGCCACGCCGACTTCAGGCGGTGCGGTTCGCGCCAACATCACTCCGAGGTTGGCTCAGGAGTTGTGGGTCCGCTCGGAAATTCGGGGTGAGGCTGTGCGTTTGGATCGCAGCGAGGTCTCCTATGCCTTGGAGCCCGAGCCATCCGAGGCCTCGCGCTTTGTTAGCTCACTGGCCGAATGCTTGGATTGGAGAGTTACGGCCCAGTACTCTTTCCGCAGCTCCTCCCACATCAATCTTCAGGAGCTGAGAGCTCTACGTCGAGAAGTTGTGAAGCTGGCTTCCGATTTTGAGGCGGGTGGCCAAGTTCAGCTGGCTTTCAATGATTCGCGGGTTGCGATTGGGGCGGCCTCAAAGGGCCGATCGTCGTCCTACAAGGTCAACGGTTTGCTTCGGGGCCAGTTGCCTTTCCTGGTGATGGGAAACATTGCTTTAGCCTTGCTGTGGATTGAAACAGAGAGCAACTTGGCAGATTGCCC